ACATCTGTAGTGTACGATGCTATTCAATGGACTAGATATCAAGAGGCTTTACTAGTTCCAGGTGCTTGAATCCCTTACAGGATAGAGTATGGTTTTCTAAACCTCAAAATAGGAGCCCACCAATTGATAAAAATAGATGTAGCACTACAATAAAATTTTTAGATAAAGACCAAGGAACTATAAATTATTAGTTGTTCCCACATGATGCTCCGGAAGTTTCACGCAACCGCTGAAACGCTCGTTCCCTCTCCCAATGATTTCATTGCAGGTAACTTGGCTCACGGAACAATTATTCCAAAGGAGTCTTACCTATAGCCTCTTGTTCGTCCGATAGTCGTTCCCTTGTCACAAATGTCTGGGACCCCCCTTCTATGCACTTGCAAATTGCTGTAAAAATCTCCGCAAATCCCTCAACCACTGGAAATCACGATTGCTGTCATTAAACGAGCAAGCGCCATTATCGAATCTACGACTGCCCGTCGTTGTCGCCTCATCACACAAACTTCGTCGACATGACGTAGCCCTGACCATAGCCTAGGGCATGGGGACCCGCTTAAATGGATTTACAATGCATGCTCCCACCAAATAGCCGCCGCTCTGCACATGCGCAACGTCACATATACAAATGAAATTATTTCGAAGCACGACTCCTTGTGAGCATGACACATGGGTTCAATTCCTTCCAGTAATCCTGTTACCAAGACGGCAATAGCCCACTTAGTGGTTTGGACAGAATATGGCGAACAGGTGGTGAAAATGGAACCAAATTTGTTGTCAGGACAGAAGGGATGGGTTGCAAACCATTAAGCTTTACCCATCGTCTCGAAATTTTTCTAATTTCACCCAGAAACCTGACTAATTACGGATCTAACTCTTTTACACTTTGCCCGTGACTATAATAGCCTTGATCCTACTTCTACACCTCATCTGAGTCCTTAGAAAGATACCTTTTCGGGATAGAAACCCCTCCCTATCCCTTTGCCGCTTCGCCAATCTCTAAAATAGGATTACTCCACCATACGAGTCCGAGCTTCCCTCGCGTCACCACCACCAAAGAAACAAGTTTGCTGCTATACGGACCAAACAAAGTAACAGGCCTATCGCATTAGGCTCTGCCACATCGCCGGACTTCATGCATAAATCAGCGCACGACCTGCAAGATTTCGAGGCAATTACGAGGCTTCTACGAAAAACATCTCCGTGGTCAGCCATACGTGATGTCATTCTTCAAACTACGGTAGAAAATCCATTTACAAATCGTACTAGTTCTTCTCAGTCATAACAATTACAGAAGAATTAAGCTCCTATTTGTCTAGATTTCTCGTCAGAAGCCAGTCCTTTTTAGCGTCCATTGGTAGGAGGCAGCGAACAACATAGTGTTTGACTTCTAGCAATCTCACACCAACAACTTTCACATTCCTCAGTATCATTACAATTCTAGGAGACACTTGACTGCAAAAGCCGGCATACCTCAATAATTAGAATTTTTTTAGAAAATAAACAATAAAGAAGCCATTAGAGGAGGACACGCCCTCGCAAACTTCCAGTTGAGACAAAAACGAAAAAAAAAGAAAGTTGTATGGATAAGGAATTAGAAACATCTACCTTGAATATTCTTCCGTCATCAGTGCCAATGAATGCTACCGTCGACCCTCTTGTGGTATTCACAGCTATCGCCGTGAAACGTGCATCATTCACAGTCAGCACCGGTTCAGCAGAGATTGGTTTTCCTCCACCTAAAGAAGGACAACTTGTAACCAGTTACTCTGATAAATGTTGGGGTGATCGTGAGGTTTGGAATGAGCCACGCATTTAATGTTTATACTAAACGGACAGATTTGAGCCATCACTTATCTCTTGACACGACCAGCCTTCTGCTGATGGCTCTACTCTTCAGGTTACAGAGTTATCACTAAGAAGATCTAAAGAGTAGAAATGAACAGGAGGTGACGATTCAGAACAGCTCCCCAACCATACTTTATATCCTTTGGAATCCTGTCCCAGCTAAGCAAAGTTCACTAGTCGCTTGACTGTTCTAGAAGGCACCAAAGGATTATTTCAAGACACTTCGTGAAGGAAAAGCGTGAAGTACACTTCGAACGAGTTCCCTGAAACTTCTTATTGACATACTTCCCTTATTTCTATGTGCGAATTTAGACCTCAGAGATCCCACATTCGAACGGTTCACTCCTTTCCCATAGCGTTCTTTACGCCGCATTCAGTCGTTTCTCAAAAGAGGTCGAGTCGGCTAAGTAACCGCGCTAATTGACTACAATCGTTACGATTGCGTTCCCAGCTACAATCTTCTAACACCTTACTATAAACAAGTTCACTTCTCCGTTCCTGGAATTCAGGGCAATCAAACACATACCGACAACCTTACGTTTCCCAAACGACCGTTCGCGATCACAAACGATGTGTTCGAGAACAATGAAAAGCGGGCACAGGCATTCATAAAAAGAAAACGCTGTAAATAAACAAGTAAGGTGACCTGAATCAATCTACAAAAACAACTTTTTGGTTGAGTTGACGGTGTCACTCTACAGAGACAGGGTCAGGTCAGTTCGTTAAAGCTCTGGGTGTCTATCGCCTAGCTACCACATAAGGTTTGCGTTGCACTTTGAAGAAGGATTCACCCGTTTTGGCAACCACCTGGACCCACATCAAAAGAGGGTGATACTTCCATTTTTCGTCAAAAAAGGCTGTCCTGAAACCGATAACGACAAAAATAATCAATTACCGATATTCGTGTTTACATCTTGACCACATTCCACATCTTTCCATGACAAATGCGTTGTCTTGCATTTAGCCGTCGACTTGAACCATGGCAGTTGCTGAAACCCCAAAGACCATAAATTCATTTGCTACATGGATACTGTAAAAAAGAAAACAGGAATTGAGAAACAAATTTTACCTTTGTGTACAGCCCTTTATAGCAATCCATGATGTTCTCTTCAAACTTCTTTTCAACATGTTTCTGGATCGGATATATACAAACAGCGGAGCGACGAGTGGGAAACTAAAACATCCACTTCAAACGCTAGAAGGACATATAATTTGAGCACTTCAATGGTGGCTCTGTTCCAAGAAAAAAATGGATGGTACCGCTAGAAAAAACCAATACAAGTAGCAAACGCAACGCTTTCCAACCATTTGTTACGTTTTTCTAGGCGCTGGGCATATCAGCTGCACGGAAAAGATAGCAGGTAGGAATATCTATGAACTCAGCGGCTAATAGACCAAAATTGGACGTTATCAATAAAAACTACTTCTTTGCCTCATCCTACAAGTTAACTGGCCCAACTATTAGTAAGCATATTCAAAAAGTCAACAAAATACAGTAAGACAAGAGAGGTAAAAACGCACATTCCGTTGGAAGGATGTTACATCGTCTGCGACAAAAACGGCGTACAGTACTTCGTCTCCTTCGCTGGAAGATAAAGAATAAAATTCAAAAGGAACATTAAAAGCTGAAAAGAACAGAAAAAGTAAAGAAAGATAAAAATAGAGACGCGAAAGCATATACAAATGTGTCACAAAAGAAAGTAAACTCTAGAAAAAGTTGCGAGTCAACAATCGTGACTGAGATGTCTGCAAAAATTGAATTCAGATAAAAGGAAGGAGCTTGAATTTTCGAGAAGGGACGATGAAACACTCAAAAGTCGCGAAACTGAGAGAATAAACGGATACAAAGTGGACCGATGATTTTGAGCAAATACCAAGAGATAGAAGAAGAAAATGGATATATCAGGCCTTTCTGTGAACAAATCCCAACCAACCTTATTCCCAACGATTTCGCAAGATTGTAACCGGCTGTCGCTACGTATACGTCTTGTATCAAGTTATAATCCGTGTCATCTTTCATACATTCCAACATCACCTACAAAACTTTGCAAATTATAACAAGCAAAAAACGCTTAATCAGAAAAAATAAAATAGATATCAAAAATTATAGCCAATTGAATCAAAATGCAATCTCACAAAAAACGTATATTAGTAGAACAACATTTCGTATGTATGTTTATTACACGCGGTACGTATGTATGTTTATTACACTTGCACCTATGAAAAATTACCGGAAAGAAAGCCCAACGAAAAAGAATCCAGAAAAAGAATCAAAAAAGAATCTATTTTCATGGAAAAACCATAGATTTCATGGAAATTTTCAGAAATTTCAACCTTCTGTTGAATTTGTTCATGATAAGAGCAAATATGGCAATAATGAAAACGATTTCCGGTATCCTAAATACTTTCATTGAGCATTTTTTGATTAATAACCCATATTATTGACAAAATTAACATAAGATTGATCAATAGTTGAAAACAACCTTTTCAACCAGTTTCGGTAACAAACTGACATCTGTATTCTCCGGTCAATTGAAGACAAATATAACATCTGGTTACCAACCTCTGTATAACTGTAGAAATGTGAATCTCCAGTACAGACACGAACAAGACGTGACTGAATCGGTGCATCCTCTCCTAAGGTCTTACCCTGCCTGGTCGCAAAATACGCATATTTTCCCGATTCGAATCCTCCAACGTAGTCAATCCTGTAAAAAAGAGCTATTGAGTAGTTTCTAGGGCTTTTTTGGGACCTGTATTCCATGAACTAATTAAAAGTGTATGACGCCCGAGGCTGGTCCATTAACTTCATTTCCGTTTCCACTCAATCTTTTACCTCTATAAAAACGTCTGAACAGAAAACAGGATCCGCCTCATACATCAAGCATACATCATTCACCCTCATGCCGCTGAGTATTTGACTCACAATGAACTCTATAAATCATAGTCTATCGAGCAGACCTAAACCCATTCTCTACCCTAACCAATTTTTCGAATATTTTCCTTTTGAGTGGAAAAGTCTAAAACAGCAGAAAAAATCGAAAACTAATTTTTACCTGTAACTACTCCGAAACTTCCGTTCTAGGCTGATTTCCGTGCCGGTTGCAAGTCCTTTATCAGCCAGTTCGAACTCTTTCGCATCGCCATCGCGTCCACGCGACAAACGAAGAGATGTCACAGCTGGGATGTCGTCACGAAACAACTTGAAAAAGTAAGAAATAAAAGGAGAAAGATCAAATACGTTTTTGTTTGAGCCCTAATTAAGAGGGCTACGAAATATAAAAATTAAAAAGCCTGATTGATGTAAATATAACGCAGATAGAAAACAAATAAAATGAATAAAAACGAGTAGAAAGAACTTACCGGCCCTCTGACAAATGTTGTCCCTACGTATAGTACCGGATCACCAGACGGTCCGGTACCGACAAAAACTACTGCTGATGATGTCGCATCGTTTGCCAACATAGGTTCGGGTGACTCGACCTGTACGTCAGTGATGTTGTGCAAGTTTCGCAAGCGACACCGACCCTAAAAGGCTCAAATTTTTTTCCGGTGAAAGTGTTGTGAAAAAATAAAAACGAAGAGCAGCACCAGAGTTTTTTAGTACCCGTTCATATGTGCGATGGACTTGCAACTCGAAGCACCCCAACTTTAAATCTTACAGATATTTTTTGAAGCAATTATTAACAAAATTCAACTGCAGTCGTAAAATTAGAATTATCAAAATTCTAATCTGTTTAGTTTTGTTTTCGATGAGATGTTATTTCAATATGAGTTATAACAACTCTTCCAGCCACTTCCTGACCCAATTCGCCTGCGATGACTGGCTGTCGCGGAAATTTGACCCTATTTCTTTCTCATTTTTTATCAACGTTAAGTGGAACGATCAAATTGTCTTACTAATTGGTTTCATGCTTACATAGAGGATCCCGTATACCATTTCAAAAAAAAAAACCACCAAAACATTGCGGTAGTAAATCCCATCAATAAGTTGACTGCTACAATGACAGTGTACAGGGTCCAGTAGTGATCTCAAATTTTCAATATTTCGAAGATTGGCCTACGACAGCTAGCTTCTTACCAAGCTCCCACCACCGCTGTGCCACTTCCGACTCAATTAAGTAGGACTTCAATGCCAATAAAAAAGTCATGGTAATTACCTGCGGACAAACCATTCAATTATTCACTGCTCAGGAAATAACCTCGTAAGACCTGATTCTCAACTTGGGATTGGGAGTAAGCTTCTAACAAACAAGTTATCAGCCCCTCCCCAGTCATCTGCTACTGTTATATATTGTCAGGGGATCCGAGTTGACTTCAAAGCAAGATATGCAGACCGTTCATTCTCCTGAAGATCCGGAACTGAGCATTATAACCCTGATGGATTCCTCAATGTGTTTCTATTATTTCTACATTGGGAAGGGGAGAACAGTCTACCATCTCTGCCTGCTTTTTGTAGCAAATTCTTGACCAGAAAGAAAGCTTAATTCCAAGCAGGATTTTTCCGATCCAAAACCGATCGAAAACAAGCTGCCATTTAGCGGAGAAAATGGATTCTTGAGCATGGAAGACATCGTATTACCATATCTCCCTACCACCTCGTTACTCACTTGAAACAGACTCGTGCATTCGATCAACTGCGACGACTTGTCGTACACGGCCAGCGCTTTCGCATGCGAATTCGTCTTATGTCGAATTGCCGAACAGCTGTCATTTCGACCTGAAACACACAATCATCGTAGTCACTACAACTGTTGAAAAAACGAACTACAACCTTTTATCTCTACCGACATTTTAACAATGAAAAGCGAGTAAAAAACGATACGATAAAATTCTAAATGGAATATTAATATCAAAGCTGTACAACACTAGTGTCATTTCGGTCATTGACAGTCCGTCTTTGCCGGTGCATAGCCATGGCAAGGCCAGTAGCCAGTAGCCATAACCGGAAGAAGGAATCCATGAGCCCCATGAACAAGAAGATGTTGCACAGGTGAGGAACAAACTCAAAAAATTTTGAATCTACAGAAAAAACAAAGATTGACTCAAAAAGTTCACTTCAGCTGTCTTTGACATAAAATGCGACAGCCCAAAATGAGTATAAATCGATGTGAATATGTAAAATTTCGCTGATCCAGACCAATGGAGCCAAGGCCCCGCTACAAAGCCCACGATTTTCAATAGGATCCAGGATCGATTACCTTTCAAGCTAAGCAGGCCTTGGATGATTTCGTGATTTCCTGGTTCTTATTACTTGAATTTTTCTCAAAGCCGAACGATGCTCTTATCCATCTTTTAGAATTTCCAAGACCGTGTAAACGTGCTTTTCAACCGACATTCTCTTCCCAAACTGGGCCGTTTCTACTTCTTTAATTCATGGTACGATTGGTGGAATTTTAGCTTAACTTTTATTGTTATAGGTATAACATTTCACTACGGAATTTCAGGAGTCGCTCTCCCTCGATACTTCCTTCTCTCAAATTCCAGGCTTGATACAATCGAAGAATTGTCTTCGTAATGCACCCGACACTATTCTTCGCAAATGCACTTTCTCCTTTCATTTTCCCAGCAATCCACACCACATCTCTTTATGAAAAGGCCGGCACTTCACACAGCGCTCACAAAAAACTTCGAAATTACAACCGCTGCGCTGGATGTGTCTAAGAAGAACTTCTAAAAAACTTCTTATGTATCCTCTCTATTCATGAGATCTCCCTTGGTTATCTGTGCTGTCTGTTTGATTATATCAACAGTGTTTCCTCGTTGAGATCACTTGACATTTCCGAGACCGAGATATTTCACTCAACATCCTCTTCCCACCGAACCTTTCCCCATGCCGACAAGTTTTCAACTAACAGACCAATAACCAGGCTACCTTCTC